CTGGCCGCGTGTCGAGCGAGTCGCTCCGGTTCCCCGCTTCATGGCCAGTATCGTTCATCCCGGTACCATAGCGCTGGCGCCCCGGAGTTCCCGAGGACTCTGGCCGTAGCTCTGCCCCTAAAGTGCATGAATGTCCAGAGTCCAGCCAGCCCTTTGTCAGTAGTGTCTCCTTCAGCAAAATGGGCTTAGGTCTGACTGGACTCATGGGACAGGTGACTGGCGTAATTAAAGCCTGGATAGTGCTTTGAAGATGAAAACTGCAAAATAAATGCAAAGGATTGCTCACGGCAGTCCGTTCCATCATCGCTGATTTCAGGGTGCTCTTAGTTATTTTGCTATTGTCAGGCAGTAGGTGTAGCAGGAGTTGAATGGTTGTGTCTTAGCAGATGCTTTCTGTATAGCCAGTAATATCCAAAGCATATGAGAAATTGTGTGTAGTTTCACTCCTTTGTGACATACTTTGGGATCCACTGGTGAAAAGTGCTACATCCAAAGTTGGTATGGTGCCCCACAAGTTGTTTCCCCCTAAATTTCTTGGCTGGTTTGGAGCTAGCTAATGGCATCATCAAGGCAAGTATGTGTCTGTTACAGAAATGGTTAACTTTCTTTACTCTGAAGTATCGTGAGCAGAGTGGAGTTTTGAGTCTAAGAATGTTGGTTTTACAGATGCTGAACTTTTTTTTTATTCAAGGCTGCTTGTGATGGAGATTTGGCAGTTGGCTCCTACAACACAGAAATCTGCACAGCTACTTGTTGAATATGTTTATATGCTGTAGTTTCTTGCAAATTATCCCAGACGTTGCGGCTGTCAAAGTTAAAGCAATGGGAGTCAGGAATACTGCATCTCTTCATATCGATCTTGTAATTTTCAGTCAGTGAGATTCATTTGAGACTGGTTTAAAAGTGCAGCCACTAGCTTGACATTATCATTTCTCTTTGGTCTTTGACTGCATTGTTGTTTGGTTAGAACAAAAGCAATTTAATACCACATTGTTTTATGATGGTGTCAGAACAATCAAGCTACTTCTGTTAATCTCTGTGGAGTATGAAATCCTTCAGAGAGAGAAACCGGGAAAGCTGAAATTCTAAAGTCAAATTTTTATGCATCTAAACAAACTCTGGCCAACTGTCTAGAGGACAGATGTCTCCAGAAGAAGTCCATGCTCACCACTCCCATTTCAGAAGCTTCTCCCATCAATGCTCTGTCGTCATGGATGCAGTTTATCCAATGTTCTAATGACAGAAACTTCAGAACTGCCTCTGTGGTGCCTTTTGTTTCTTACTGTCAATGATTTGGTTAGGCTTCTGGGAGTAGGTTACTGAGAGAAGATCTGTAATTTCCAGTATGTTTTCTTCTGAGCAAGGTGTGTATTTGCTTTGAGTGATTTCTCTCTGTTAGGTAATACTGAAGCCATCTTAGTGGTGGTTTTTAGTTGATATGAAGTAGAACTTATTCTATAATTATGGTGTTAAACCCCAGCCAGACCCACAGATTTAATAGGAATAATGCATAATGCTGATGCATGTGGTAATATTATTTTCATGGTGTTTGTCATGTCAGTTGTGTTCTTTTAAGTACTTCTAATATTAATATCATTACAGAAAGAAAAATGTAATGAGTTGTGGGCCAGGGAGAAAAGAAATCTTCAGAATTGGGTTGAGATGTAGTATGAATGGGGCAGGGAAAGTACAGAGACCTGTTCCGAATGGCAAGAGCTGCAGAGGGAAAGGCATACAGACCAACAATAGGCAGATCAGGGGAGCCGAGACTGAAATCAGAAAAACAGTAGCAACAAAATCCTTTGCTTGCATTCTGTCTGAGACTCTCAATGTCTCTTATCTGTTTCTTAGTTTGTATGCTGCTCAAGGCTAGGGCAATTTTGTACTTGTTTTTTGTGTAGTGAGGGGTACATTGGAGGTGCTTAACAAACAAAAACATCCTGAAATAAGGCCACAAACTCAGAGTCATAGGTTTCCTTTCTGCATCCTACTCTGCATTTCTCTCCCCTGCTGTGTGTGATTTCACTTAATACTCAGATAAAGAACTTCAGTTCTAATTGTCTTAGTTTCAAAACTTCTGCCCCCTTGGAGCCAGCCATCCTAAGACCATTAATTTCTATAATGTTTGTGTCTCTCTTACCCTGCTCTGCTATTCCTCAACTGGAATAACCCCACCTCTTTATCTCTTCTTTACAGAAAACATGAAGGAACTGAAGGAGCCCAGGCATCGGAAAGATAACCGGCGTCCAGACCTTGAAATCTACAAGCCTGGCCTCTCCAGGCTCAGGAACAAACACACACTATTAAAACAGGAAACCTCAGCGTATGAAGAGACCAGATCTGAGGAATCCAAGGATGACATTGCTAGTGACAAAGATCCTATTGTTACCGGAGGGGGATCTCAGGTCACTGGAGACCTCAGCAAAAGTGACAACCAGAAGCAGAATGGTCCTTCCCAGGGAAATGGAGAGATGGAAAGTAAAACTGTTTTTCAGGGGCAAGAGAGTTTACATAAACACTCTCTCCCAGAAGAGTGGTGTCCCAGGATCATCAGGAGAACCAAGAAGCCAGACCAGCAGATTTATCAACCTGGGAAACGCCTGCAGACTGTTGCCAGGGAACCAGCCAGTCAGCCAGCTAGTGATGAAATCATCAGTAAGATGGAGCAGCTGAAAGCTGAAGGAGATGAGGAGACCGAAAGGGACATTGGGAAAGGCAGCAACAGCAGGAGAACTAAACTGAACAAAGAGGAGAGAGAGGGAAGCCTTATTAGTGAGGGAATGAAAACCACAAGGGGAGAAAAGGGAAAGCGGGTAGAGCGGCTTGACAGAGCCAGGAAATCAAGTGATGATGTGATCCAGGGGACACTGGGTTCCACAAAGCGATACTCTCGTTCTGACAAACGGAGGAGCCGATACCGCACCTGTAGCACAAGCTCAGCAGGGAGCAACAACAGTGCAGATGGAACTCCATTCTCTGATGGGGGAAAGAAGCGACAGGAGCGGGCCAAAGAGAGAAGCCACCCTAGAAAACAGCTCTCTGCTTCCTCCACTGATTCTTTGGAAGATGACAGAATTGGGGAGACTGAAGCTTATGACACCAACAGGAATTCAGAGAGAAAACGTGCAGAGCAGAGCCGAGCTTCTAAAGGGGAGAATGATTGGAGCAGCAATGGGAAGGAGATCAAAGGAGCCCTACGCGTCACCTTTGATAACAAGACCATGAATAGAGACATTTGTGTGGCGTATACAGACAAGACAAAGCCTCCAAAGGCTTTTAATGTAAGTGACTCCATAGAGGCTTTGGAGGTGAAGGGCAGGGAGCCTCAAGGGAGAGGCCGTGGGATTCTCATCCTGCCTGCCAACACAGACCTCTCTGCCAATGCGGCAGGCTCTCCCGAGTCTACTCAGTCTGGGCCCAGGCTCCTGCTTGGCAGTGGTGTCAGCAAGGGGCTGAGAGGCAGGGGCCGTGGAGGCACCATGCGCAGATTGTGGGATCCAAACAACCCAGACCAAAAACCTGCTCTGAAGAGTCAGACCTCACAGCTTCATTTTCTAGATACTGATGATGAAGTGAGCCCTACTTCCTGGGGGGATGCACGCCAATCCCAGGCCTCCTACTACAAATTTCAGAACTCTGACAACCCCTATTATTACCCCAGTCCAAAAGGCCAAGGTCCTCCGTATCCCTATGGAGGGTACGCTTTGCAATATCAGATGGGCCCCAATAACAGTGTTTACCCAGGAGCTTACTACCCTGGATATGCAGGCCAGTCAGGGCCGTATGTCTGCAGTCCCCTTCCCCCTACCCCTTTGAGTCCTGAGATGGAGCAGCAGATGAGGAACTTACAGCAGCAAGAGCTCAGCAAATTCCTCCGAGAAGCTGGGAACCAGGAACAGCAGCTCAGCAACCTGCTCTCCAGAGACCGCATCAGTCCTGAGGGTCTTGAGAAGATGGCACAGCTGAGGTTTGAAGCTTTCCCTTTGGGCTGTGCTGTGTTGGGATGGGGATGAACTACAGTGTCATCCCCACTGAGTAGACATCTGCAGAATACCACCCTCAAATGTTTGCTCTGTCGTTGGGCAACTCACTGAGAGGGGCTGGTTGTCAGACCACGGCCCAGCCACCTG